AGAAGAACAACCCAAGTGAATGCTAGAGGTGCTGATAAAAGCAGACACCACTAGCATGCTCGGGGAGGCTCCATCTATTGGTGGGGAGCGGCACCTGCTGGAAATCGGGTCCAGAGTCCCTCAACAATTATAGCCAGGTGTTCCGTAAACCACCCGAGTTCATATCAATGTGCCACGTGTCCACCCCACAAAATGCACACATGATCAACCGAAACAGCACGCTGGCACACTCTATCATGTGATCAGCAGCATCGATTGCCCTCAACTCAACTGAGGGGATTAACTACTCATCGTAACTAAATTCCCACTCCGAAACTTTCATCACCCGCTTAACAAATCGTTCGCAGCACGATGAAAGGGAGAGGTAATCAGAATAGGAAGTTAGATCAGCTACTATGGCTAATTCCGAGGTCATCACAAAGTTACTCTCACAAGTTATCGGGGAGCATCAAAACAATTAGGGTGCTGTCCTCCCTAGACAAGATCTCTGCAACTGCTGCTATGCCCTTTCCTTTCTCTTTTTCATCTTTGCACAGACCCTTTTTTTTGAAAGGGGAAATTATTGAAATACCCCTAAAACTTTGGGTATTTCGTTAGACACCCCTAAAACACAGGGGTACGATGAAATGCCGCAAACTTCTGCATATGCCCCTGTCCCACTCATTGGCAATTTGCCACATGCCCTGGCCCTGGGCTGCAGGGGCCCATGCATTTCTTTTGCAATCTGCAGGGTTCAACAGCCTAAAATACCTGGGCATATAGACAAGTTGCCCAGGGCCCAGAAGGGGTATATACGCAAAGCGTTCAACAGCCTAAAATACCTGGGTGTATAGACAAGTTTCCCAGGGCCCGGTAGGGTTATATGCAAAACATCACACGTTCAATTGGCGACTGGGGTACTTGGCAAAGTTCCACTATTGTCGTAGGGGCATTTGCCATACCCCTGCCATCTAGGGGTATCTGAGGAAATACCCAAACTGTCAGGGGCATTCAACAATTTTCCCTTTTTAAAAAAAAAAGGGAAAAAAAAAGGAAAAAAAACGGAAGGGCAACAGCCTTGAGATTGACAGTCCCTGGGTAACTCAGAATTGTAGAATTTACTCAGCTGCTTTTCTGCATCTGTGGTTAAAACACATCCAGATTCAGGAGCTGGATCCTATCCTTTTTGCTAGTGGGACCTCGGCCCAGGAGCGAGGTCCCACTAGCAAAGGGGATTGGATAAATATCCTGAATCTGGACGTGTTTTAAGCGGACATGCACCTTTCCACAAACACCTCCAGATTCAGGTCTTCAATCCTATCCTCTTTGCTAGGTGCCCCCAAAATCCCTTGCCCATACCTTTCTCGGCCTTTTGGCTAAGATCAAGTGTAGTGTATCTGTTCTGATCCGTGGTCCATCGGACCATAAAAAAAAAAAAAAACACTTGCCCCGCGGCGTCTTCCTAGATCGCTGACAAATGGGCACACCAGAGCCTAGCTCAGTGGGTACACCCATGAACTGTTGAAATAGAGACCTGTGTTCAAATCCAGATGACGGAACTTCATGAGTACAAACCAACTACTAATGAATTGCTTGGGGCCGGTCAGCTCAATGATAATATCTAAAGACCGTCACCCTTTTTTTTTTAAATAATAATAATAATAAAAAATGGGCACACCAATAGTACATTTGGTACTTCGGCAAATCTGTGTGATCGGCCCGCTAGCCTTTTTGGGGGGGGATTTGGGATTATAGGTCCCAGTGTGAGTGTGCCCTGAGTCAGGAATGGGGATCCGCGCAAAAAGCAAAGGAGATCTCTGCTACGCCGGAGCACTAAGGTCTATCGTACGGCATACGCACACGAAGACTTTTTGGAGTGAATATGGCTGTAATTGTCGTGCAAATGCATCCAGGAAAAGTCATAGGGAGGCACTATGACCTTAGTGGCGTATCACACAAAGAGCACGACTTCATTCCAGCAATGTAGCTTGGTGTCGTCTTGCAGCAGGCACATCAACGGTGAGTTCGGCTTGGTGTGAGGCTCACTATCTACCCTTTTTAAGCTTGGTTGTGTCCACATGCACTCTTCTTCGCCTTCACTACACGACAAATTCCACCAGGACGGACAATCATTGGAGCGATACAGAGAAGACTGGCAAGCATGGCCACCCTGCGCATTCAAGGATGACACACATACATCGAGAGATGGCTCATTTGTTAGCTTGGACATAAACCTTCTTAACTATAGAGAGAAAAAAAAAAAATTCCCAGCAACCAAACGAAATGGCAGCGCCAGAAAAAAATAATAATAATGAAAAAAAATAAAAAAATAAAAAAGAAATGGCAGCGCCAGAGCACGATATCGGCAAGGAAGGCGAATGCAATGCGAAACTGCCAATAACACAACTGATCAATCAATCAATCAATCAATCAATCAATCAATGAAGGGTTATCTACATAAAATGGCTTCTGATGGATCTGACGGGCTTGATAGACCTTACCACATCAACCAGAGAGAATCCCTCCACAGGAGACCCCTTTCCCCCAACGCTTCCGACGCCACTTCCCCTCCTCCCCCCCCCCCCCCCCCCCCATCGCCATCCTTCCCTCTCGAAAGCAACCCTAAGAGGAATGGAGGCGGACTCTTCACCGACGAGTCTGCCGATCCTCCAACGGATTTCCGCTCTCTGGCGGACTTGCCACGTGTCGCGCTTTCAGAGCCACGCCCACGTGGTTTGCCCCCCAATCCTGGTGTCAGACTCGAGATCCCGGCTGCACCCATCGGTTCGCCCCCATCGTTCCCGCCAATCCCACGAGCAATCCCACTGGCGGAAGGCGGGGGAGTAGCGATGGAAGCCGAAGGATCCTCCCCCCCCCCGGAGAGTCGACCGCCGTCCCTCGAGACCTTTCCATCCAACGGTCCAAGAGCACTGCTGTTGCTATCATCATAACTGAAGACGAACGATCGTGCAAAACCAGTACCTTGCCTCGTGGTCGCTGGCGTAGCTGACCCGCCGCCTGTCCCCCCCGAGCTCCCAGCACCTCCTCCTCCTCCTCCTCCTCCTCCTCCTCCTCCTGCTCCACCTCCAGGGCCGCCAGAGCCCTTCGACGACGCCAGGCCACGACGTAGGAACGACAATCGGTCGGATGAACCAGGCAACATCACTCCAAACTTAGTCATCCCGCCCCCGACCCCCCCCCCAATCCCTCCAGTGGGGGGACCACCACTTCCAGCTACTACGGCTGCAGAAGTTCCAACGGCACTAGACGAAGATGCTCCTGCTGCTGCCGGCTTTGCTTTCGGGCCTGAAGACGACGAAGGATTCCCGCCGCCCGCGGATTGGGCCATGTTGACCTTTGTGATTAGTCGTTGAATCTCGCGGGAAAGATCATCATCGAGAGGGCTATCGAAATCGCCCCGATCTTCCGCTTCTTCCATCATCCGCCGCCTTCGAGCGCGTTCGCGCCAAACCTCTTCGTCGTCAGACTGATGCTCTTGTGGGGGTGGGGATCTCTCCTCCTCCAGGAGGGGCGATTCTCCCTCCTCCCTCGCCCCTCCACCACCGCCTTCCTTTCGCTTCCTTGAGCGCTCGTCCTTCTTCTCTCCGACACCATTCAAGCCCGTCTTCATCCCGCTTCTTTCCCTCCTCCCCGATGCCGAGACGCCCTCCCCTCCGCTCTCTCTCCGTCTCGCATTCATCCTGTCTTCCTCACTTTCTCCTCCTCCTCCTCCTCCTCCTCCTTCTTCGTTGTCGTCATCCTCGCCTCCCCCTCCATTGCTCTCATCACGATGATCACCCTCTGCGCCATCGCCACCGGCTAGTGAATCGTCCTGCTTCGCATCGGCGAGTACATCTTCTTCATCAGGGAACAGCGAACAGACGCGAAGCCTGTCTCTCTCTCTGCTACTCGCTTTGTCTCCCCTTTTCCACCCACTGCGCATTCTGTGCAGCAAGTCATCCATCTCCACACGATCTTGCTGCTCCAGCCATTTTCTGTGCAGCTCCTCCCTTCTCTGCTTGAATACCGGGTCATTGTCTTCGAATCCTTCTCTTTTGTCCCGTTCGCCTGAGCCTGGATTGTCAGCTGCTCCCGCCCCTGCCTCCCTGTCCCTGTTTTCAGCCCTCTCCAAGCGTGCCACCTCCATCGCCTCCTCTTCGTCGTCATCACTTTTGCATAACCCTTCTTCTTCATCATCTTCCACCTCTGCCTCATCGTCCACGAACGGGTTCTTTTTACCAAAAGCCTGCGCCGTCGTCATCTCGACGCTACGTTGGCCAGAGTACCGTAATTGATCGCAGAATGACGACACGGACCGATGCTCCTTCTCCTCAAGAACCTCGAGAACCTTTCTTGGCGGCGGAAAACAACCACTCGGTTTCTCGTTTGACGTTTCCTGTGGCGGGGAGCCACTTTCTCTCTCCCTCTCATTGCAAAACAACGAGTCTTTCCCTTTCCCCTCTTTCTCCCTTTCCTCCTCCTCTCCTTGCACTCCTCTCTTCTTCTCTCCCCGCGCGCCTTCCTCGTCAAACAGGTCCTGACTCTGCGAGTGCAAATCCAAGAGCAGAGAAATGTTTCTGCGTCCGCACGCTGTCGATGGCGATTTAAATGAGCCACCGCCGATGCCGGTCGTTTCTTTCTTTCCCATTTCCCCCCTCTTCTCCTCTTTAACAAGACGATCATCATCATCGTCGTCGTCTTTCTCATCATCGAACGCTATGCTGTCATCTCCTGGAAACAGATCTTGCGTGTCCTCTATGGGAGCCCGAAACCCGCTAACCGAGGTGACGTCAACGGCATGCCGCCGCTGATACACACGAACGGGGGGGGGACCACCACCACCTTCCCCTCCACCACCCACGGTGTCTCCTTCTCCACGGCATTTCGCACGAGTCGAGCAGTCGTCTTCTCCTCTCTTCTCTCCCTCTCCTCCTTGCTGGGAATCACCATCATCTCCTCCTCTCTTCTTCCCTCCCCCCTCCTTTTCGTTACCCGGTTGTCCTCCGTCCATGAGCACTTTGCCTTCTTGCCCCTGGGAAGACGACGGAGAAGACTTCGTCGCACTCGGCGCCTGCCGCTGAGCAGCCAATGGCTTCTTCTTCCCGAAGATATTCCACCCTTCAATCTCCATCAAGTCAGCGTCGTCTTCATCGTCATCGGCATCTTCCAGACGGTCACTACGACGTTGCCGAAGAGTACCAAGAAGAAGACCACCTTCCTGAGTCGCCATAGCCACTTTCTCCGCAGAGAGTGGAATTCTTTGCAATGGTTCTTCACTTCCAGCTGTTTGCTGCTGCCCATCTCGAAAAGTGGGAGTTGAAGAGGACGACTTGGCCGTCGTTTCACCCTCCTCCGCGCTCGGCGTAGACGCCTGCGCTCCTGCCGATTCTTTCTTCTTTCCCAGCCCCAGTTTCTCTGAGCGCCGCCTTATCTTCTCCAAAACGCTCAGCACGGGCTTCTGTGTGACAGGCCGAGGCGCGAAAGATGCCCCCTTCGATTCTCTCAGGAGACGTTGACTCTCTGCAATGATATCCATCGCCGTATCCTTTGTCTTTCGTCTCGACCTCCCAGTCGTCTCTCTCTCTGTGTAGCAATCGACGACATCTGCTGCCTCCTCTCCCGACCCTTCAGGAGCGAGGAACTCGTCCTTGTCGTTGTCGTCACCACTCTTCTTCTTCCTCCCTCCCCTCCTCGTCTTGTCTCCTCCCCCCCCTCCTCTCCCCTTCCTACCGCCGCCGCCGCCGCCGCCGCCGCTGCCAGGTTCCCCAGCTTCCTTCGGCTTACCATTCTTCTCCTTCCTCCGCCTCTTCTTCGCCGGCTTCTCTCCCTCTCCCGCCTCCTCCTCGGCCTTGGATTCATCGTGTCCTTCCTTGTTTGCCCCCGACGCTTCATGCGCGTCCTTCCTCTGCTCGGCCGACAATCCTTCGTCGCTCACGATCGGGCCAGCGATATCATCGCCTGCTGCAACTTGGACCCCTGTGCAGCCATCAGTAGTCCCGACTTTGCCTTCAGCTTTCCGCCCCTCATTAATCTGCTCCTTCTTCCCACACCCTATGGCTGCGCAGCTTCCTCCATCAACTACCCCCGTCCTCTCGCCCGGACGATCTGCACCCGATCCCGATCCGGCTTCGGATCCGCACTGGCTCGTATCCCGACTAGCAAAAGTCTCCTCTCCTTCTTCTACCACTCTGCCGTTCTCTCGTTCCACGTCCTTTCCGGTCCCTCTCTCTCCCTCTTCTCCCCGACTCATTACAGGCGCATCAAAGTTTCCTTTACCCAATGGAACACTCCCATCAGTCTCCTTGTCATTTCCATCCGCCATAGCACCGTCTTCGCGAGATGGCTGCACGCCGGTGTTCAATGCCAGGGCAGTCGCAGCCGCAGCAGCATGAATTTGCCTCGACTTCTTATTAGTGCTGAATCTGCTGATCGTATTCTTTGCATTACCAGGAAGTCGAGAGCCGCCAGGCAGATCATCATCATCATCATCATCATCCGATATCTTGTCGGCAAAACAAGGCAGCTGAACCGAGTGGAGCGCCGCCGACGACCTGTTGACATCTTGGTTCTGCTTCCCTCGTCGAAGCCGTTTCAGCCGCTGCGCAGTAGTCCCAGTTTGAGACACGGCGGGCAGTGTCGGGATCGGGATCTCGTTGTCATCCAAGTCATCGTAGAGATCCTCCATCTGCTGCAATGGGGAGGAAAGCACAAACTGGGCACGTCCACAACAAGCAGACAGCTCCGCACGACCGGTATGATAGCCGAGAGCGAACCGTTTGTTAGCGAGTAACTGCTCTCTGGGATTGAAAGAGACGCTTGACAAGGCAAGGAGAAGCGAGGGAGAATGGGGGTGAATGGAACCGGGGGGAAATACTCGTCAAAAAAGAGGGGAAACGAACCAGACGTTCCCAGCTGTGAGAGTGATTAGCGTTGGAATTAGGCTCCGTTTGATCGACCAGACCAAGCATATTGAATCTTATCAGGTAGAACAAAGACCGAGGCGGAGAAAGAGAGCAGAAGAAGAGGAGGAGCACGAAGACGAGGAGGAAGACGGGGAGGCCGCCGGCGCAAGCAAGGGAGATGAAACCTACGTAGAGCAAAAACAATTAGTGGAAAAGAAACACGTTGCCGATGTGAGGGAACGACCTGCAGAAGAGGAGGTATGGACACGTGGCCAGCAGAGGTTGAATCAAAGCCAGCAGGGAAAACGGAGAGGGAACATCACATCCATTACCCATCGTCACCGATGGCATAACAGTGTGAACGGCTACAAGGGCCAAGTACCACGTCTGTGACCGTTGAGGCTCGCGGTAGGGCGGGGTTAGTGTACCGCGGGAGTTGGAATTGGCGCTGAGTTGCAAAAAAAATCACTTTTGGCGCCTCTCTTTCCCTCCCCCCCCCCGCCCTCACTTTTTCTTTCTTTTTGGGAAAACTACCGGCTTCCCCCGAACATAACGCATGTGTTGTATTCGAGTTTCCCAAAAAAAATGGTTTTCGGAAAGACCCTTTTCTTCGAATACAAGGGCACTTCGAATATAACGTGTATACGTTCTGTTCAAATAATACGCATGTGCGTTATATTTGAATTTCTTGAAGAGAAAATTGTCGTATTCGAATATAACCTTTTTTTTCCCCCCCGAAGGTCAACGCCTGCTCCGTTCTTGCCCTGGGGCCTGGACCCACTAGTGAAGTATTCTACCACTCCGTTCAGGATTTCGATCACCTGTGGCCTCCAGTGACGCAGTACGGCCATCGAATACATTGGATCTCGACGGCCTGGTAGTTTCCCAGCGGGGACTGTAAAGATGCCCACCTCCTGTCCAATGAGATGTGTCGAAAAAAAAAAACACGAAGTTGGACATGATGGGTCTCGCTCCACTACTCTAGACTCTCGAAGATTTTCGAGAGTGAGTCTAGAGCTGTCAGACTCTATAGAAACGACTGAAAAAGAGAACGTCGCTCCACTTACTCTAGAAGGTCAAACTCAAGAAAGCCTCTGCGATGTCAGACCGCTCTTTGAGAGAGCTACACAACACGGCCAGCACGCTGTTGTCGCCCAGACTCCAGGTGCACCCCATAAAAATGCTCAACTTCCGAAGGTCCTGGATGCCTCCCTTGAAATTCCCGCTGCTGCAGGCGGGAGCTCTCAAATCGTCAAGAGTGCCATGGGAGAGGAGGTTCTCATGAGTGTGTTTCATGAGGTAGTGGAGCGACGACGGATTCTCTCAATTTTCGTGAGTAGATATTGACAGCTCAAGAACCCGAATTCCAGACCTGGCGTCTAGAGTAAGTGGAGTGGTGCCGTGCTCAAGAAATGGTCGGTTTTCTAGCTCGTGGCTTTGCGTGGGCGGGAAGTCTGGATTTTATGGATTTAAAAGGGGGGGGTTGATTTTCAGACGTTTTTTTTTTTGGCTCTGAGAAATAGAACTTGAGATGTGAAATTTGAATATTGTGGTGGATCTGACAGAAATGCTTCCGAGATATATGGTGATGAATGTATCCCCATAACCCATTACATGTTCATCCTCGTGGTTGCGTTGATGGACACATTTTATTGCTACGGTACATCACTATGAACACTTGTGTGAAGGAGATCAGCCCAACCCATGAATTCGGGTGCACAGCTGTTCTTCATAGTTTTATGTGCTATTTCAATTCATTTTAAATCAGAAAACGATTCATTCATGCAAATAAAAAATCACTTTGTATGTTCCAAAAAACCATAAAATTGCATCACACATCGTAGAATACTTCGCTAGTGGGTCCAGACCCCTGGTGAACGGGACAGACCCATGCAGGTCTGTAATCACAAATGCCTACCCGTGCTCTCTCTCTCTCTCTCTCTCTCTCTCTCTCTCTCTCTCTCTCTCTCTCTCTCTCTCTCTCTCTCTGAGTGCACGAAGGCGCTTCTGTCAACCCAGAATGTAGAGCGGCCAAGAAAGTGGCACGCCCAGAATGTGGAAAAATAAGAAAGCCACTCACCAAGGTCTCGCTACACTATCGTGGTCACCGAGACAAAAAATAAATGGGTAGCATTTGTCCATGGTCTAGTGGAAGATTCATTCGCATTTTGCACATTTGCTGAGGAGTGGAGCAAGGGCCCAAGTACTAGGGAAAGGAATGAAACTCAAACCAAAACATGGAAAGGTACATCGCTACTTTACTTTTACCTTTCTGCCAAGGCTCTGAGGCCCCTAGCCGTGGTCCATAACTGAGCCTACTCAGCCTGGACTTGACCCCCTTGTGCAAGCAAAGTTGGTCTCATTCACTCGAACATAACGCATATGCGTTGTAAACGAATACAACGCACGGTATGAGTAGTACTCGTTTACAACGCATATGCCTTATGTTTGGGGGAAGACGGTAGGGCGCAGTCACGGTTTCAGTTTGAAAATGCATTTCAGACACGATTTCGCCTATGTCGTACCACGCGAAAAATTGTGAATGTTCCCGGAAAAAAAAAATTAAAAAAATGGTGAATGATCCAGCGGCCTAGCTCAGTTGGTAAGACTTGCGAGTTGCATTCAGAAGGTCATGGGTTCAACCCCCATTGGCCTCATGTACCTTCCTGCGCATGCTTGGCACTCGCCACCTAGACTCGGAGATAGACCACTGGATCCTCCGATCGACATTGAGCAAAGTGAGCAGAGTCAGCTTCACGCCTTGCTATTTTTTTTTGCAAAAATTGAGAATAGTGAGATTTATGTGGGACACTACGAACAGGCCGGCGGAAAGGTCACATGCAGATGTACCGGGTTGGTGGAAGCGTGAATACACAACCTGCACTGTCATGATGTCGATATCAGGCCCCATGATTTTTCGTTGTTTGGGTCATTTTTTTGGCATTCGTGGAAATAAAAAATAGCATTGTTTATGCACTTTTAAATGAGAAAAAAACACCACACACCATTTTAAACGATGCTAGTCACTCCCGACCCCTGAGCTTTATAAATAAATAAAAAACAAAAAACAAAAAAAGGCGCAGAGTATGCTGATGTTCGTAGGGGAGGGGACCCCCACCTGCAGGTCGAGAGCAACCCCCACATGTTCTCTTGTGAACACGTTTTGTGGCTGCTACGGGGCTCGCCGTATTAGGTAGTGTGAGGCGAAATTGAGAGAGGAATGTAGATTACTTAAACCATCAGTACCTCGCCCAACTATCAAGTCTGAGCCTCCCGCTACCGGTAAGTCGAGCCTTGTCGAGCCTAGAGCTACCGATAGCGGGTTTTTTTTTTTTTTGAAAACCCAAAAAAAAAAAATAATAAAGAAAAAAAAAGAAAACGAACGTGCTTCCGAAAAACAAATAAAGAAAAACCAACAAATAGAACTGGAAAAGGAGAGAGAGAGAGAGAGAGAGAGAGAGAGAGAGAGAGAGAGAGAGAGAGAGAGAGAGAGAGAGAGA